GAATGCCTTCTTGGTGTACATCCTCAACCTGGCCTGGGCTGACTTCCTCTTCCTTAGTGTCTTCATGGCAGAGTCTCTGGAGAATCTCATCAACTTCAACACTGAGGAGAAGATACTCACCTCTGAATTCATCAATATTGCGTCGAACTTGGCCTATGTCGCAGGCCTGGGTATTCTCAGCGCTGTTAGCACAAAGCGCTGCCTGTCAGTCTTGTTCCCCATCTGGTACCGCTACCACCGACCGAGGCATCTGTCAGTGGTGATGTGCATCCTGCTCTGGGCACTGTCCCTGCTGGTGAGCATTCTTGAAGGCATTGTGGCTTCCTTTACACAGAGCTTAACTATAAGTGGTGCCAGGTATTTGACTTCCTCACAGTAGGGTGGCTGATTTTTTTATGTGTTGTTCTTTCTGGGTCCAGCCTGGCCCTGGTGGCCAAGATCTTCTGCATTTCCAGGTGTATAGGGCTTACTAATCTCTACATGGTCATCCTGCTCACCGTGCTGGCCTTCCTCCTCTGTGGACTTCCCTTCGGCATCTACTGGTTCCTCTTAATCTGGATTGGAAATCATTCTGAACCACTATTTTGTAATCTTTATTCGGTTTCAGTTGTCTTGTCAGCTATTAATAGCAGTATCAATCCAATCATCTACTTTCTAGTTGGCTCCTTCAGAAAGCGACAGTGGAGGTGCCAGTGGCAAACCCTCAGGCTGGTTCTCCAGGGAGCTCTGCAGGACACTCCCGAGGTGGACAAACATGGAGGCAACGTTCAGCAAGAAGCCCTGGAGATGACCAGAAGCAGTCTGGTGTAGAGACGAGAGCCTCAGCACTGGTCGGGTACATGTGACTTTGGGAGTCAACTTTGCCCTCACTCATATAGAAAATTTTCTTAACTTCTTCGAGCCTGGGGCCAATGATCTTAAGTGAATAAGACAAAAATCTTTCTCCTTAGGATTAACTGAAACAGTGCCTGTGAAATCTGATTGCAGTTCTCTGGAACTGCCTTACTCCGGGACTTCAACTCATCACTACATAAGTTTTGTCAGCTCTTTGTCACCTCTTCATCCAGGACTATTTCAGCTTTTGAAGAATCCACCTTTCAGCAGAAGTTTGAAAGCAGCACAGGAAATGTTGAAATTTCTTTGATCAGTGCATTTGACAGGAACTTTGAAAATGGACTAAAACTTTTTCACCAGATTCTTTCGTCTTTCATACAATTTCAGTTTCTATAGAATTAAAATAATCAAATTCCAAGCTAGCCCCCAAAAGCAATCTTCTTTCATTTTGGCAGGCCTTAGAATGTCTAAAAAGTTCAATCAATGTTTATCAAATAAATGGACATAAACTGATGAATTTTTGTAAGTTAAGCCTATGCTAAATCTTTGTTTACCAGATTTGATTCACTATCTTGGTAATTATCGATTTCACCATTTTTTTGCTTTGCAAGCATGAAACTTAATTTCATAACTAGATCAATCAACATCAAAGACATGTCAGGTTTGAGGTAGACTGTCTTCCAGTATTTTCCTCTCACATGCTCTCTTTGAGAATTCTTGCATATCTTCCCCTCCCACACCTTTTATTTTTTGTTTGTTTTTCCTTTTTCCCAATTCTTTCTCTCTGCTTTTCTCTCTAGTCCTTCATGGCTGGTTTCCAGTGGGTGTTACCGGGCTCCACATTGTTTGTGGACAGGATCTTGTCAGATTTATGTTTTATTCTAAAGAGCTGATAGCATTACAGGTGTGTACACACATACAATGTACAGTTAAACCTCAGGATGCATGAGCAGCACCTTCACCTTCCTACATGGTTTCAGCAGTGAGGAGAGCAGCAGACCCTGCAGGAAGTTTTATATATGATGAATGGAAGTCCTTTGTTAGTTACATGTATTATAAATATTCTCCAATTGATAGTTCACCTATTCATTTTTTAAATTTTTATAAATAAAAAACTATAGAACTTTTTAAACAGAGAACTGTTAAAATTTACATTTTTTGGTCTGTTAAATATTTTGTTACCTATTCATTTATAATAGAGTATTATACAGCACTTTTGGGTTTACAGAAAAATTGTGCAAAAAGTAAAATGTTTCCATACACCAATATTCTTGCACCTTGTCCACACACAGTTTCACCTACTCTTAACACCTTGTATTAATAAGGTATATTCATTGAAACTGATAAACCACTCCCTGACCCCAAAATATACTATAAAGCTATAATAATCAAAACAGCATGGTATTGAGGGAAAGAAAAAAAAAAACACAGACAGGTGGACCAATGGAATAGAATAGAGACCCCAGAAATAAACCCCAAAACTTATAGCCTGATTTTCGACAAAGAATACCGGTCGATCCAGCAGAAAAAGTTAAACCTCTTTAACAAATGGTGCTGGTAAAACTGAGTATCCACCTGCAAAAAGATGAAACCAAATCCCCATCTTTCACCATTAACAAAAATCAACTCAAAATGGATCAAAGATCTGAACCTAAGACCTCAAACTATAAAACTACTAGTGGAAAACACTGGGAAAACTCTGAGAGACACTGGGGGTAGGCAAAGACTTCTTAAATAAGACTCCCAAACCACAGGCAATAATCCCTAAAATAGACAAGGGGGGCTATATCAGATTAAGAAGTTTCTGCACAGCAAAGGACACAGTAATTGGTGCGAATCAACAGCCCTCAGAATGGGAGAATATTTTTGTAAACTGTGCCTCAGAGAAGGGACTGATAACCAGAATACAAAGGGAACTCAAGCGGCTTACCCCCCTACCACCCAAAAAAATGATTAACCCAATTAAAAGATGGGAAAATTAGCTGAATGAACATCTCTTTAAGGAAAGGCCAAAAAAGCATATGAAGAAATGTTCAACATTCTTCAACACAAGGGAGATGCAGATTAAAAGGGCACAGGAAAGGTTAGCTTATTGACGAATAGCATCTTTAGAAATAACTTGAGTAAAATGGGGGTTAACTCTTCTTTGAAAGTTTTGTAGAATTCAGAGGTGAATACATCAGGGCTAGGGCTTTTCTTTGTTGGGAGGTTATTTATTACTGATTCAATCTCCTGGCTTGCTATGGGCCTATTCAGACTTTCTATATCCTCCTGGCTCAATCTTGGCATATTATATGTGTCCAGGGATTTGTCCATATCATCCAGGTTTTCTTGTTTCTTGGCATATAGTTGTTCATAGTATCCTCTAATGATGTTTTGTATTTCTACTATGTCTGTTGTTATATTGCCTGGTTCATTGCAGATTTGATTTACCTGGTTCCTTTCTTTCTTGTTAATAAGTCTTTCTAGTGGTGTAACGATTTTGTTTATCTTGTCAAAGAACAAGCTTTTACTTTCATTTATTTTCTGTATAGTTCATTTATTTTCTATCTCATTTATTTCTGTTCATATCTTCATTATTTCCTTTCTCTTGGAGTTTTTTGGATTGTTTTTGCTGTTGCTTTTTCAATTCTCTGAGGCATAATGTTAGGTGATCCATTTGGCTTCTTTCCATCTTCTTCTTATGTGCACTAATTGCTATGAACTTCCCTCTTATAACTGCTTTAGCAGTGTCCCAAAGATTATGGAAACTCATGTCCTTATTGTCATTGGCTTCCAGGTATCTTTTGATTTCAGTCTTTATTTCTTCAGTAGTTGTGGAGTCATTCAGAAGTAGGTTATTTAGTTACCAGGTATTTGAGTATTTTTGAGAATTTCTCTTAAAATTAAACTCAAGTTTAATTCCATAATGGTCGGAGAAGATGCTGGGTATAGCTTCTATGCTTTTGAATCTGTAGAGGCTTGCTTTGTGCCCTATGATGTGGTCAATCTTCAAAAAGGTTCCATGTGGGGGTGAGAAAAAAGTGTGTCTTGTGGTTTTTGGATGAATAGTTCTATAGATGTCTGTTAAGTCCATTTGATTTATGGTATCATTTAGATCCTTTATCTCTTTACCTATTTTTTGTCTAGATGATCTGTCCAGAGGGGATAGTGTGGTGTTGAGGTCTCCAACAATTAATGTGTTGCAGTCTATCTCCCTTTTTAGATCTAACAGTCTTACACTGCTGG